ACTTACATATAATGAATACTTAATTAGATATAAAATATATTATTGTTTCTTGTGCATTGGTCTTGTTAGTGTATCATTTTTTTTTAAAGATTTATTTTATTTATTTGAAAGAGTTAGAGAGAGAGGTCTTCATCCGCTGGTTCACTCCCCAGATGGCTTCTAAGGCCGGAGTTGTGCCGATCCGAAGCCAGGAGCCATAGCAGAGAGCTGGATTGGAAGAGGCGTAGCCGGGACCTGAACTCTTACCGGAGAATGGAGGGTTCTTGTCTTTGCACAAGAAAGAATTCAGGCGTGAGACAGAGTGGTGGAAAGTGAAAAGTAGCAAAGTTTATTAGGGTAGAGACATCCGCAAGGACGGATGGGCACCTCTCCAGACAGGACCTGAGAGAGAGCCCAGCCGCTCGGACGGTGGGAAGGAGCGAGGTTACATGGTTGAGTGGAGAGAGTACACCTGGCAGGCCAGGCGGGCGGCTCAGCAGGGAGGCAGAGTGTGTGTGTGTGTGTGTGTGTGTGTGTGTGTCCCTAGAGAATGGGGATCCGGAGCAGGGTGTTTGAGATGCAGATACTGGGCTGCACCTGGGAGATTGTGGAAGATTTGTCAGGCAGAAGGGGCGGGGACCCCCACCTGGCAGGTTATCAGGTAGAAGGGGGCAGGGCAGGATGTGAAGGCCGGGCTCCCCCTGAAACAGTGTCAGGACGACTCTGAGACGCAGCATATGCTGGACATAGACGGCTTCTCTTTAGGCCTTTATGTCACACACACATAAGCTCATAACTGACTTCCTACCTAACAGTATTGCTCTGAGACTGAAGGTCAGGAGGATGCCTCCTGTCAGTACACGTGGGACAGGACTTGTCACGGTGACACGACTGCTCCTGGGCCAGCTGCCTCCTGCCCGATTCTTACCAGAACAGACAAGCAGCCTGCGCAGATGGTATTCCCAATAGTCCGTTTTTGTAATAATAGTCCAAGAGCAACTGTTCTCAAACCCCAGTTGGAGTTGCAGGCTGGTTTCTTCTCACAGTTGATTGGCTTTTGTACACCTGAGGCATATTTTTGCAAATTTTTCAGAGAAATTCTTAAAAGTTGGAGAAGGCAATAAAAAGCAAGTGGGATGTTAGCTATTTCGTATGTTACTATAATCGTGTAAAAACTCATCGTGAGAGCTGGCGTGTAGCTGGTGAAGATGCCTGCGTCCCGTATCCCAGTGCCTGGCTTTGCTCCTGGCTCCAGTCTCCTCCCCTGCAGACCCGGGAAGGGAGCACTGATGGCGCAAGGCATCCGGGGAGTCAACAAGCAGAGAGGAGCTTTCCCTGTCTCTGTCTGTCTGTCCGTCTGTCTGTCTGTGTCTGAGCCTCTCAAGTAAATACAAAAACTTTTTTAGAAAATAAAAGAAATAGGGCTGAGGAAGTGCTCTTGTAGTTTTCAGTCTAGATTAAGGAAGTACCATTGCACAGTGACCTTTGGGGTTAGTCTCTGTCGTTTATAGTCTGCAGGAGTATAAAATGGGAAGGCCTCACTTAGCATCTGCCTGAGGGCAGCTGTTTGGGTGCTGGGCTGTCTTAGGGAACATCAGAGGGATGGAGTCTAGTTCATCCTTAGACATTCTTCTGAGATATGTGAATTTTGTAGGGAATCCATTAGAGGCTTAGATACCAATTTAGATGTGACCTTTTAACCTTTTTTTATTTTGAAATAATAGATTCATAGGAAGTTGCAAAGAAATGTATAGGGGGGTCCCCTGTATGTGTGTGTGTTCACGTGTGTGTGTGTGTGTGTGTGCAGTTTTATCACAAGGATAACTTACTGTGGTCGGCACCGTAATTAGCATACTGAGTTGTTCCTTCATTGCTAGACTTCCTTAACTCCTCCCCGTTTATAGCCACGCCTCCTCTCTCTGCCTGCAGCGCGAGTTTGTTCTCCATCAAGTCGCGGATGACCTTTTGCGATTAGATGACTTCTCACTTTGCATACTGGTGTGAAGGTTCCTCTAGATCAAGGTGTGTGTCCAGTGTGTCCAGCAGTGCTTGTGTGGGTGTGCCACGGCTTCTTTAACCGCCGGAGCGCTCTGGCTTGTCTCTAGTTTGGGGCTACAATGGATACAATTGTGGAGAAGGCTGATTCACTGGTTTTTGCATAAGCGTAAGTTTCGTTTCTCTGGGGTGCGTGCCCAGGGGTGTAGCTGTTGGGTCACATGGTAGGTGCGTGCTCCCTTTTTAAGAAACTGCTGAACCGCTCCCCCGAGCGGCTGTCTCGCTGACTGCTTCCGAATGACAGTGTTTTGTAGAATGAGGTGTTTATCGTGGGCTCCGGACGGAGTGTGTCTGTAGATTTCGGCACAGTCCTGGGGCCGGAGTGTGGCCGCTTCCGCCGGCCCACCTGGCGCAGGTGGCGTCTCCCTTCAGCCTTCCACTTGGGCCACCTGTCATTGATTCTGATGGCTTTGGCTCTCAGAAGCAACTCCTTCAGTGGCCACAAAACCCACAGGAGCTGCCCAGGTGACCGTTCTCCCCGTCTCCCTCCTGTTTCTATGTGAGTTAGGCTTTAGAGAGCCTCTTCTCTGCCTGTCTCGGACACACACACACACACACACACACACACACACACACACACACCCCGCTGGTTTCTGCTTGCGCATTGAGGCACGCTCAGTTCTCTCTCGAGGTTCCCTTCCCCTGGACCTCACCCACTACCAGCCTGAGCGGCAGCTGCTTGCCAGCCACACTTGCGACTGCCGGGCCTGCGCCTCACTTCCTGACACCCCTGGTACCCGGTAGTGTCCTTCAGCTCCCCGCTGACGTCGACAGGGATTGTCCTGCTGACTGACGGCACCAGCAGGCTTCTCCTAGCTCAGCGTTGTTCCTGCTCTGCCCCTAGGCGACGTCTAACGCCCAGGGTCACTCTGTTTTTGTGGAAACGCTTCTTTGTTTTCTGCTACCCCTTGGGCTGCTGCTCCTGGTTCTTGGCTGATGTCTGCCCTCTGCAGTCCCCTTCAGTCTTGGCATCTCCTTGGAGTTCTGCCCAGGGCCAGCGTGCTCATTCTGGGTGAGCTTAGTCCCTCCCTCAGCTGCCTCCGATACCCGTTTGCATCTCAGACTGCTTGCCTGGCTCCAGATCCGTGAGTCATTCGCCTGCTAGCCGTATTTCCATCTAACTCTTCCACCGTGCCCCTTGGTCCTGGCACACTGAAGGCAGAGTTCATTCTCTCTTTGCTGTCCTACCTCTGAAAAAGAAAAAGGCCAACAGTTAACTCTGGGGCGGTGCTGTGGCATCGGGTGCAGCCGCTGCCTGCAGTGCAGGCGTCTCACCTCTGTCTCTCCCTCTCTTGCTCTCTGTAGCTCTGCCTTTCAAATAAATAAAATCAGTCTTTGAAACCAAAACCAAAACCAAACCAAACCCCTGCTTTCCTGCAGCGCCGTGCACTGCCCCACAGCGGGAGTGCCGTTCCGATGCACCTGCAGGTCATTGAATTGCCGTGTGAACTGGGGCTCCTGGAGCTAACCGCCCTCTCTCCACCGTGCCAGTCCCCCTGTGCCACACCTGCCCTCAATAAGCCGCGTGACCAGCAGTGCCCCTTCTGCCCTCCTGCAGGGTCCTTCTGTCACCAGCTGAGTCGTGTTGTCCCCCACCAGTCTCTGCTAATCTGTGGTCAGCCATTTAATGAGATATTACATAGACGAGTGTCAGAATTGTTCCTGTGTGGCTGGCGCCGTGGCTCACTAGGCTAATCCTCCGCCTTGCGGCGCCGGCACGCCGGGTTCTAGTCCCGGTCGGGGCACTGGATTCTATCCCGGTTGCCCCTCTTCCAGGCCAGCTCTCTGCTGTGGCCAGGGAGTGCAGTGGAGGATGGCCCAAGTGCTTGGGCCCTGCACCCGCATGGGAGACCAGGATAAGCACCTGGCTCCTGCCATCAGATCGGCACGGTGTGCTGGCCGCAGGCCGCGGCGGCCATTGGAGGGTGAACCAACGGCAAAAGGAAGACCTTTCTCTCTGTCTCTCTCTCTCACTGTCCACTCTGCCTGTCAAAAAATAAAAAAAAAAAAATTGTCCCTGTGGAAGCTAACTTGAGTGCTCCGGGAAGGCTGGGAGATCTGTTACTAAAATATGCGTTGACTGTGGGATTCAGTAAGGAACGCAGCTGGGGAGGATGGGTGTCTGCCCAAGGTTTGCTACCTCCAGGCCCTCTCCCTGTAGCCAGCGAGAACTGCTAGAAGCACAAACCGGATCGTGCGACTCCTCGTTTTAGAGCCGTTAGAATCCAGACTCCTTAAACTGGTCGTGAGGACGGTAAATCTGGCTCTGCTCATCTCTCTCGTGTGAAGTGTGTTGTGCCGCCTCGTCCCACCTGCGCTCTGCCATGTGGTCGGATTCACTTGTCCGCTTTCATGGCTCAGCTGGGGGTGGTGGGGTGTGTGTGTGTGTGTGTGTGTGTGTCTGCGTGTGTGTGTGTGTGTCTGCTTTCATGGCTCAGCTGGGTGTGGTGGTGTGTGTGTGTGTGTGTGTGTGTGTGTGGCTTTCATGGCGCAGCTGGGTATGGTGGGGTGTGTGTGTGTGTGTGTGTGTGTATGGCTTTCATGGCTCAGCTGGGTGTGGTGGTGTGTGTGTGTGTATGTGTCTGGCTTTCGTGGGTATGGTGGGACGTGTGTGTGTGCGTGTGCATGTGTGCCGGGGTGGGGCAGCGCCATGCTTTCTCTCCTCTGGTCTTTGTGTGTGCTGCTCCGCGGTGGGGGCCCTCCCTCCCCTTCGCCCCAAAGCTGACTGCTGCGCTCCGGTCTCGGCGCGCTGTCAGGGGAGCCTTCGCCGAGCCCGAGGTGAGTGGCTGCCTGGGTGAGCCTGTGCTGTCTAGATTGGTCTGTTGTTGACTGTCTCCTTCAGGGCAGGCAGACTGCAAGCGCTGATCTGTATCTGTTGTGCCCACTCTGAATGCTCGCGGGACCCAGTGGTGCTCTGTGCAGCGTGGACTTTGTGCAGACCCTGAAGGAGCCGTTCGCCCTTGCAGGTGCTGTCTCTGCTGGCCTTCGTCTGTGAGGAAGTCGTATCGCAGTGCACCTTGTGCGGAGGACTTTACTTCTTCGAGTTTGTGAGCTGCTGCGCCTTTCTCCTGAGTCTCCTGCTGCTGATTGTGTACTGCACGCCCGTGTACGACAGAGTCGATGCCCTCAAAGTCAAGTCATCGGTAAGCGCGACCAAGGCCTCGCCCTCCGTTAAGAGCGTAGCTGCTTTGTAGTCGTGTGCAGTTTTATCGTTCACAGAGGAAAACTTTGTTAGCAACATGCAAAGACACTGTCCACCGTTTCAGCTCCCCACTCAGTCTTCCTGCCCAGAGGTCCGGGCCGGGCCAGAGCCAGGAGCCAGGAACTCCATCTGGGTCTCCCACAGGGGTGGCCAGGGTCCAGCCAACTGGGCCGTCGTCTGCCTCTTGGGCGCATCAGCCGGAAGCCGCATCGGAAGCACAGCATAGCCAGCGCTGATAGGGGACGCGCACATCCCACGTGGAGACGTAACCTGCTGTGCCCCAAGGCCGTCCCCGTACCTCTCGAGTTGTGTGCTATAGGAATCTATTACCTTTAAAAATATTTTTAAATTGAAGGATTAAAAAAATAAACAGTTGATGTCAAACAGTTAGAAGATAACTTTGAAAAACAAGTAGAATGTAAATTCACAAAGCCGTCAGGTGTTTGAGCGCCTGCGTGCGGTTCGGGGCAAGGCCAGTTCTCGCCTGCGGTGGGTGGATCCCTGTGCCAGGCACCTCCCAGGCAGTGGTGTAGAATCCTACCTTCTGCTTCGTTTCCTGTTGCAGACACTTAGGTCTGGATCGTTTAGCAGCTTGCCCAAAGGCAGCACAGTCCAGGGGAAGTAAGCTGGGGTTTGGGTGGGTGTTTGGTGTGGCGGTTAGGCATGTCACGTGGGACCTTCACATCCCGCATCAGGGGCCCAGGTTCAAGTCCCAGCTCTGCCGCCAGTTCCAGCCTCCTGCTAATGGTCATCCTAGGAAGTAGCAGGTGGTGGCTTAGGTAGGGTTCATGGCACCACTTGGAGGACCTGGACTGAGTTCCCAGCTCCTGGCTTCTGCCTGATCCATCCCAGCTGTTGTGGGCACTTGGGGAGTGAGCCAGTGGACAGGTGATCTCTTTATGTGTTTCTACCTTTCAGATAAATAAATTTTTTAAAAAAGAAAATAAACCGAGATTTGAACTCAGGGAAGCGCTCCCATTCTGTAGTCTCCCATGCATGCTGGACAGAATCGCACAGCCAATGCCCAGCAGCAGAAAGGATGCGGGGGCCAGTGTCGTGGCGTAGTGGGTAAAGCCGCCCACGTGACAGCGGCAGCCCACATGGGCACTGATTCTGGACCTGCCGGCTCCACTTCCCATCCAGCTCTCTGCTAACGCGCCCGTGAAAGCAGTGGAAGATGGTCCAAGTGCTTGGGCCCCTGCACCCGTGTAGGAGATCCAGACTCCCAGCTTCAGCCTGGACCAGCCCTGGCCATTGTGGCTGTTTGGGGAGTGACCCAGTGGATGGAAAATTTCTTTCTCTATATTTATTTCTCTGTGTAATTCTGACTTTCAAATAAATAAATGTTTAAAAATAATAAAGAGGATACAGGAAGCACCTTTAAGTTTAATTACGCTTTGTGGTCTTTGAAAATTCTTCCATTTTACAGATAAGTATGCTGGAGATTTGTACAGAAGACGCTGTCCTGTGTCTGAACTGGTGTAATTGTAGTTTGTTTAATGTTTATATATTAAACATTAAAGGTTAAAATCGATTTTTCTTTATTTATGTGAATAGCAAAACACTATCACTATCCATAAAAATATTTTCAGAAATAATTAACTTTGACTTTAATGATTCATCTGTAGTGCTTAAAGCACATTGATCTTTTTGACAAAAATATCATATTCAGTTTAATATGTTCTAACCTAAACAAAATATAAAACATGCATTACATTAAACTTGAGTATTTATTATTATTTTTTTAAAAGATTTATTTATTTATTTGAAAGGCAGAGTTAGAGAGAGGCAGAGGGAGAGAGAGAGAGAGAGAGAGGTCTTCCATCTGCTGGTTCACTCCCCAGATGGCTACAGTGGCCAGAGCTGGGCCAGTCCAAAGCCAGGAGCTTCTTCCAGGTCTCCCACGTGGGTGCAGGGCCCAAGCACTCGGGCCATCTTCTGCTGCTTTCCCAGGCCACAGCAGAGAGCTGGATCAGAAGTGGAGCAGCCGGGACTCGATCTGGCACCCACGTGGGATGCCGGCACTGCAGGCACTGGCTTTACCCGCTACGTCACAGTGCCAGCCCCTTGAGTATTTATTATTTTATGTATTAGTTATTTGAAAGAGAGACCTTCCATCTAGTGCTTCAGCCCTGAGATGTCCACAGCTGTGAGAACGGGGCCAGGCTGAAGCCAGGAGCCTGGAACTCTGTGTCCTGTGGCGGGTGGCCGAGACCCAGGTCGCTGAGCCATCGGGAGCTGCTCACAGGGCGCACAGTAGCAGGGAGCGGGCTGGAGCCGGGCACTCTGACGTGGGAGGTGGTGCCCCAAGTGGAGTCAGCTTCCACCCCCTGGGGCCTGGCCGAGCTGCCGCAAGTTAGGCCCGCACTGGGGAGCCAGGCCCCATATCGCGGTGCCTGCTGCAGCCCTGGGTGCTCCACTCTGATCCAGCCGATCGCACGGGAATGTGCTTGGGAAGGGAACGGCGGCTGGCCAGAGCGCTTGGACCCCTGCCACCCCAGAGGGAGATCAGGAGGGCGTTCCTGGCGCGGCGGCAACACGGCCCAGCCCTGGCTGTCGCAGTCATTTGGAGAGTGGACCTGTGGATGGGAGACCTCTCTGTCGCTGCGCCTTTCAAATCAATACATCTTCTTAAGTTGTTTTTTTTTTTTTTTTTTTTTTTTTTTTTTAACAAAGCTTGCTCCCAGGCTTGAGCATTTAGAGAGTTATTTTAGAATAAATGCTGGTTTAAAAATACTGGAAAAATAAAAGGCAGTCATTTTTATATGAAAAACTGTTTTATTGTTATGCTCTATTTCTTTGGCGTTTGTGTTTGTACTCACGGGTGATGTTTTAGAGTACTTGTAGTCATAGGACGGGAACCTGCTTTTTACCTCCCGTTGGAAGATTTTCACGTTCACCGTGGTTTACAGGGCACCTTTCAGAAGTGGAGCAGCCGGGACATGAACCGGCACCCACATGGGATGTCGGCCCTTTCGCTGTATGCATATGCCTGTGCTGCAGCTTCAAGTATTTTTCACGTGAGAGAAGTTTGCTGTTTGGCGTGTGCAGTGGTGTCAGTGTCCGGGGAGGAGCGATCTTTCTGGAGAGGGGGTCTCTTCTCTTTCCCGCTGTCGTGGATCACGTTGTTAAGAATGCCTGTAGTCGGCCGTGACGGCACTGCACTGTGTGCCTGCAACGATCGAGTGCCCTCCGTGGCCGAACGCTGGTCTTTATAGCTACCTTGTGAAGAGGGTGCTGTGGTCATCCCCTCTTTGCAGAACAGAGGCACAGAGAGGTAAAGTCGTTGTTTCAAAGTCGCGTGGTTAGTAGGGGGTGCAGCTGCGCTCGGAAACTCATGTGGTCTGTTTGGCGGAGATCAGGAGTGGTGGTCCATGAGCTCGGTCTGACTGCAGAACTCGCGTTCAGTGAGCACTGCGCTCTGTCCCAAAACGATTGTCTCGCTTATGTGTCTCCTTGAATGCACAGCAAATATTAGTGAATAGCATTCTGTGTGTCACAGATATGGAATAGCACTCAGAGGGATTCATGGAGGAAGTACTGCAGGAAATCAGCTCTCAAAAGTGAAGAGAAAACTTCTTAGCCTTTTTTTTTTTTTAAGATTTATTTATTTATTTGAAAGTCAGAGTTACACAGAGGGAAGGAGAGGCAGAAAGTGAGAGAGAGAGAGAGACAGAAAGAGAGAGAGAGAGGTCTTCCATCTGCTGGCTCACTCCCCAATTGGCTGCGAAGGCCGGAACTGCACCGATCCAAAGCCAGGAGCTTCCTCTGGGTCCCCACACTGGTGCAGGGCCCCAAGCACTTGGGCCATCTTCCACTGCTTTCCCAGGCCACAGCAGGGAGCTGGATCAGAAGTGGAGCAGCCGGGACATGAACCAGCGCCCACATGGGATGCCGGCACTACAGGTGGTGGCTTTACCTGCTACACCGCGGTGCTGGCCCCAAACTTCTTAACTTTTATAAATGTTAAGCGCGTGTCAGTGTAAGTTGCATTTTGGAAAACTCATACAGTGTTAAGCTTAAGCCCCTTTGGAGTGGCTGTCGTTGTGCAAGCCTGTCATTCCGAGTCAGTGTGTCAGGCACAGCGCGTGCTGAGAGCCCGTGAGCTACAGCGTCGGGGAGCACCGGGAGGCACACGTGTGCTGAGAGCCCGTGAGCTACAGCGTCGGGGAGCACCGGGAGGCACACGTGTGCTGAGAGCCCGTAAGCTACAGCGTCAGGGAGCACTGGGAGGCACAGCGCGCTGAGAGCCCGTGAGCTACAGCGTCGGGGAGCACCGGGAGGCACACGTGTGCTGAGAGCCCGTGAGCTACAGCGTCAGGGAGCACTGGGAGGCACAGCGCGCTGAGAGCCCGTGAGCTACAGGGTCAGGGAGCACCGGGAGGCACAGTGTTAGGGAGCACTGGGAGGCACAGGGAGCACTGGGAGGCACAGCGCGCGCTGAGAGCCCGTGAGCTACAGCGTCAGGGAGCAGCGGGCCCCCCAGGAAGCGCCTCGTGGTCGTGTCTGCGCTGTGATCGTTACGACGAGCGGGGAAGCCCCTGTGTGCTAGGTGAGCTCATTGTGCAGGCTCACTCTGGATTACCCACCTGGAGCAACGGGAGGCCTATGTTCCTGCAGAAAGCTTAAGTGTGTAAGAAACACACTGTTGGCAACATACTCTTTCTTTAGTTATTGGCGGACGATTCTTGGGCTTCTGTCTCTTCCACAGTGCTTTCAAAGTGCTGACGCACTCTCCGCACCCCGACACAGGCGGCTTGGGAAGAAAAGGAGAATGCGATCTTGGTTGAAGTAGAATGGAACTGTTAGGTCCTTTGGCTTTGAACACTGTGATGTCCCAGAAAAAGGAGGACACCCCACCCCCATGGCCCTTTAAGGAAGGTTTTTGTTAAAAGGGCGTTGCATACCCTGACTCTGCCCAGTCGAAACTGTGGATGGATGACGTTTGTTTATAGGGTATGAATTCTAGGTTTATTGCAGAGTTAGATTGGATTTTGTACATTTGTTTTGTATCAAGATAAAAGTCAGTCGTTGAAGGCTTGCACAGTTAAAGTGTGTGTCGCCATGACTCTAACCGCGCTGTGTTCCTTCTGTCCCTACACAGGACTTCTATATTACCTTGGGAACAGGATGTGTGTTTTTGTTGGCATCCATCATTTTTGTTTCTACGCATGACAGGACCTCAGCTGAATATGCAGCAATTGTAAGTACCTTGTATTTTTAACTTTTTTATTTTTGTATCTTTTGAAATAAGGAATTGTAAAATGATATAACATATGACATGATACAACATTTGAGAGTAGATTGTCTTTTATCTTGTTTTTTAGTGGTCTTTTGAATAGAGAACCTAAAAGCAAGTAACTGATAGCTTTTTACAACCTAGACCCTGTCTAGACTTTGAGTTTTGATAACACAAATCTGCCGACTTCATGTGTGAATTTGTCACTGGTCGTGGAAGTGGTAAAGCTGACTGTATCGTCTTAGACTTCCCCACTTTTCAGTTTAACAGAAGCACACCTGCGTGGCAGATGGTGTCCAGCAGAGGAGGCAGGAGACATGGCTCAGAGGCCGGCCTGTTAAGGGGGCTGTGGAGGTCAAAGTAAACGGTGTTAAATGGAGCCGCTGAGGCTGAGCCTCTCAGTGCCCTTCAGTGGGTTGTTCCTGACTTTGGAAGTTGATCCGGTCTCTCCAGGGAGTACCGCTCAGGCACAGCTGTGAGGAAACCAGCGTCCAGCTTCTTTACTCCTGTACTTCATCTTTCTTAAAACTAAGATGTCAGAGAGCTAATCTCCGGTGGAGGAATCAAGCCAGTTCTTCTCCACATTCCGTTTTGTAGTCAGCACCACTCCTCCACAAGAAAAAAAAAATGCTTGCCTGTCCCAGATGTCAGTGAGGTGCATTGTAAACAAGCAAAACTCCCCTGAGCACAACAGCGGGGAAATTGAAAATAAAAGTCGAGTGTTTGGGTGGCAGGTGCTGGCACAGCAGTCAGGCTCCTTCTTGGGACACCAGCATCCCCTGAGAGCCTGGGTTTCGGTTCTGGCTCCAGCTTCCAGCTAATGTGTGCCCTGGAAGGTAGCAGGCGATGGCCTGAGTCACTGGGTCTCTGCCCCCCGCGCTGGGAGACCTGGGCGAGGTCCCACTGGGTGGGTTCCTGGCTGCGACTTGGCCAGCCTTGGCTGTTGCGGAAGAGTGAATCAGCAGACGGGAGACCCGTGACTCTGTCTCTGTCTCTCTGCCTTTCAAAGAAAATGGAGAAAAAAAATCCAGTTCCATGTGAAATCCTTGGAGTCAGATTGTTTTGTTTTTTCAGATTTCCGGGTATTGTGAGTTTGGGGAAGATACGTACTTTGCGTATAGTATATTATGTAACACCTTCAGAGGTCCTGGGGCAGCACCCTGGAGTTTAATGTTAATATTTCTGAAGCAAAGCATGAATATTTATGGTGAAAAGGATAAATAAAAGCTATGAATAGTCTTAGTTTGAGTCAATTTTGAGCCAAGTGAACCATGAAAATTTGTGGTTTTTTTTTTTTTTTTTAAAGATTTAGTTATTTATTTAAGAGGCACAGTTACATGGAGAGAGAGGGAGATCTTCCATCGCTGGTTCACCCCTCAGATGGCCGCAACGGCTTCCTCCGGGTCCCCAACATGGGTGCAGGGGCCCAAGCACTTGGAGAATCTTCCATGGGTTTCCCAGGCCATAGCAGAGAGGTAGATCCAAAGTGGAGCAGCCGGGTCTCGAACCGGTGCCCATATGGGATGCCGGCACCACAGACAGAGGCTTAGCCCACTACACCACAGTGCCGGCCCCCAAAACTTGGAGTTTTTATAGCTTTTTTAGATTTCAGAATTATAAATCAAAGATCGTGGGCCTGGAATGGTGCAAATATTGTGAACCTCAATGAAGTGTGAAAATCCTCACGCAAGTCCGTGGTTTCCAGTTGGTGCTTTTTCTTAATAAAACTGGAGCTGTAAGGAGCAGAGTCGTCAGCTAATGGAGCATTAAAACCACTTCTTACAGTGGAACAACTCGGAGGAGTTCAGAGTTGCATGGCCGAACTGTGGCTACCTGTTCATGTGACCACAGTTTCTTAGAAAGCCTAGAAATAACAGTGCTGAACCTGGACATATTCTAACAATAAATACTATTTACCCCTGGGTACAGGAAGCAGTGGAAGACACAAGAACCATCTTAAGTAAGGCCTTGTGGTAATTCCAGTCTGTATACTTTTGTTGCAGAGGAGTGTGACAAGGTAGTCAGTAAAATACTTCCGAGTATAAAAATGTATTACTGTAAATTCAGCAGCGGAAGGAAAAGGAGTTGAGGAGAATTGAGTTCTGGCGGGGGTGAGGAGGAACATGGCATAACATTCCTAGTAACTGCTAAAGGAGAGCTTATTTATGACTTTTATTCAGGTATGACCATGCTTAGATTTCACTGGGTATATTTAATAGCGTCTGGTAGCTTCAAAAAGTGTTTATAATATGCTGGGTATTACCTCTTAGAAGTATTTGAGTTATGAGAAGTTTTATAGACTTCAGTGAGGGAGTCACTTAAGAAGCTGGGAAAGCATGGAGCAAAGATCTAGCACACTTCTCTGGGTTAGACAGGGGGGGCCCGTGTCAGGTGGACTTCGCCGAGGTCGGAGATGGCGTCGCGAACACGGTGACACCCAGTCTGTGTGGGCAGAGCTCGGGAAGTCTGCCTCACAAACAAGGGGACAGATGCCATTCGGCCAGATAAAGACTCCGAAGGGGAGGAAGGCTTGGGGGGCAGTCGATAATTCAGTGGAGGTTGAGTGTGTTGGGGCCACCCAGGTGAATTAGTGAGCGTGGCGCTCAGTTGCAGTGTGGTGGAATGAGGCAGGATGCGTGTTCTGTAAGGCAGAGGGCTCGGGAGAGGAAGGGCCGAGACAGCAGCCTGTGACAGAAGGCAGAGAGGCGCACGGAGCGGGTGGCCGTGAGAGCTTGGTCTGGCGGTTGACTCCGGTTCAGACACCCGCAGGGGAGTTCAGCATCGGTTCTGGCTCCCGCTTCCAGCTTCCTGCTGACGCAGACCTGGGAGGTGGCGGTAGCGGCTCCAGTAGTTGTGTGGCAGGAACTTGGGTTGAGTTCTGGACTGGCCCAGCATTCGGGGAGTGAACCAGCAATAGCGCATGCACGCACACGCACACACACACACACACACACATACACACATACACATACTCTCTCTCTCTCTGCCTCTCAAATCAATAAATAAAACATGGAAAAGTGGTGAGTGAGACTTGGAAGATGTTGGCCGTCACCTGCTCTTTTCACAGAGCGTTTTTGGCCCCCGTGGCCTTCCGGGTTCTGCTGGTGAGGAAGCTACCAGGAGCACCGTCCTCTGTCTCTTGGCAGAATTCTCTGAGTGTCCGTGTTAGAAGACACAGTGAGGAAGTGGTTGGAGGAAGAGGAAGTGGGTGGTGGCGTCGTGTCGTTGTGTCACTGCAGGGTGACAGTTAACTGGAACATGCGTCATAGGTTGTTTAATGGTATTTTCAGAATGGAAGTTCGCTTTGATATTAATAGCTTCTCCCCTTTCACCCAGGCTGAGTCGCCTCTTCCCATACTTCCCTTATCCCACCTGTGGATGAATTGATCCATTGCTAGTAATCTTGACTCATTTGCTAGACTTTTGTGTCATTTTAATTTTTAAAAGATTATTTATCTGAAAGAATTACAGAGAGGGAGTAAAGACGGGGAGATCTTCCATCCACTGGTTCACTCCCCAAATGGCCACGACAGCTGGAGCTGGGCCAGGCCAGAGCCAGGAGCCTGGAACTCCATCGGGGTCTCCCACATGGATGGCAGGGGCCCATGTACTTGGGACATCTTCTTCTGCTTTCCCAGACACGTTAGCAGGGAGCTAGATTGGAAGTGGAGTAGTTGGGACTCGAACTGCCCTCCCAAATGGGTTGCTGGCATCGCAGGTGGCGGCTTAACCTGCTGTACAGCCATGGCGGTCCCTATTTTGCATCTTTTATAGGATTGTATTTTCCATCTACTAACCTTAGTTTCATAGATTGATACCCCCACATATACCCATGAAACAGGACATCGTATTTTGTGGAACTTTGACTAATAGCCAGTATTCTAGATATTTTTCATTTGTAACTTCTTTCCACTTTTTGCTGACTTTAAAATTGTGTGTGTGTGTGTATGTGTGTTTACCACCAGAGGTTAGTATGTATAAGATAAAATCGATGGATCTTGTTCTATGAAATACCGTCAGAACCAGTGCAGGGTTCTGTTTCAGAATTCCCCGTGTAACCTGTGCCCTTTACCCCTCCTCAGGTGTTTGGCTTTATGGCAAGTTTCATGTTCCTGTTTGACTTCTTCGCTATGCTCTATGAAAAACGACAGGAGTCCCAGCTCAGAAAGCCCGAGAACACCGCGCGGGCAGAAACCCTCACGGAGCCGCTTAATGCTTGAAGACTCGGGAGCCCGGACGCCGAAGGCAGCCCTGCGCAAGGCCTGGCCCTGGCGGGCGCTGTGTAAGATCCGTGTGACTGTGTGGACCACACACCATTTCTGTTGGCCATCAAGGGGCAGGGCGGGAGACGGCGTATCACACTGGACTGTTAGGCACTCACCACACCTTAGGCCAGAGGTTTTCACTTGTGTTTTTGTTCTGTTTGAATAACCAACAAAACCTGTGTCAAATGGGGATTGTGGGGAGAGGAAGGAAGGGCCGGTGTTTCTAATTCACGTAGCTCAACGGACGAAACGTGATGATTGTTCCGTTGCAGAATGTCTCTTCCTAAGCTTAGCTTCCAAATTACGCTATACGGCTGTATGGACAGCGTGATTGTATTATCCATTTAGAATCGGTTTCATTTTTTAATTTGCTTTGCTACTAGTTTTTATGATTAGATGGTGTTCTGTGATGGAAACTTGTGTATTTAAGAGATCAATGTTTTAAATGTTGGTCAAGGGTTTTTCCTCCCGTAATGCTGAATTCTACTGCCTCTCTCTTAGCCTTGAGATTATATTGTAACACTTCAGGATAATCATTACTAAGCCTTCTGAGACCTCCGGGTAGCCTAATACAAGACGTGTGGGAGATGTTGGTCTTCCACATGTACGGAAGCAAAGCCAGCAGCCTCATTTCTACTGCTCTTTGGTTGTTGATGCCATGCCAAAAAAAAAAAGATACTGCTATAACACAAAGAAAAAGTGAGGAAACTGATGCTACAACAGAGGACCAAAGATAAGAAAGACTTTTTGTCCAGTGTGGTGAAAGCGATGACCAGAATAAGCTTTGACCACTTACTAACGAGAGATGCGTTCATACTGGATTAGAAATGGTCCATTGCCCTGTTGATATTTGATTACTTCTACTTGAGTTAACGCAGCTCCCTGGATCCTGTTGATTGTTTTCTTTGAGCCAGTCTTTAGAAACCCCAGCCGTGGACTTCATCTCTAGGAGACGCTCCCTGTTCTGCGTCCTTCGCAGAATGGTTTCTGTGCTGCGGCCCCCTCTGGCAGAGGCCGGCGTCTGGGTTTCTCTGTTGTTGTCAGTGGCCTGGAGTCTTGGGCTCCTTTTCTTACCAGCAGTGGGTAGCAAGAGCTCTAGGGTCCCTTTTCCGCATAGGCATTGCTCTTGTTTCTTTCTGGAAGAAAATGAACACCCAGAGAACACTGCCCAGAACAGTGGCGTTGACGGTCTAAGAAGCTGGTCAACCGTTCCCAAGAGACTTGGCAGCCTGTTCTGACAAAGGGGAGAAGTCGCTGCTGGAGGCTGTGTGAGAGCAGCCGTCCAGAGGCCTGGCGGAAGCTGCCTGCCCGGGCATGCACGGACCAGACCTTTCTTGTCCTCCTCCTGGAGTTTCTCCCTGCTCTCCAGCGTTAAGGCCCTGAGCCGCACATCAGGTCGGGAAATACTTCGGTGGAAGTCTCCCAGGCTGGTTTTCTCTCGGAAGCTGCAGAATCATGTTTCCTGTGGTAGTCTGATGACCTCATCCTTTTGAATTTCCCCTCTGCCTTCTGTGTGTTGTTAGGTGGGTTTTAGTGGTGTGGTGGCGGCTGACACGGTGCTCCGGAACTGGTCGGGGCGGCCAGGTGTGGCTCCTGCTCCGTCTCCCAGTCTCAGTACCTTGTCCGTCTGTCAGAGGTCGGATGCTGGGTTAGTGACGTCATCGCTCCTCCCTGGGAGATGATGCAACCAATCATGGGCACTGTGCGTCAGGAGCATGTCTTCCAAGACAAGAAGTAGCTGGGTCGGAGGTCCAGGAGTAAGGATTGGTTCAAAGATAACAGTTGTGGAATCTGACACAAAACTGTACCATTGCCGTCTTAGATGTCACCTAGACCCATCTGACTTCACGGCAAGTGCCCTGGGCTACCTCAGGGTTAGCACCCACACACTGGGCGTGGCCGAGCCGGACGGCCCTGGCCAGCTGCCCTCACAGCAGAGGGGCTGGCACTGCGCTCGGCTCTGCCTGCTCGGAGCTTTACCTCGTCTGTTCCATCGGTGCAGAAGTGGCCTCTTGGATGGCCGCTTACTAACCCTTGTCCTTCAGAAAGACGGTTCGCTGGTGCTTTTGGTCACCCTTAGAGCCTTTCCCATTGTATGTTATGGGGACCGTGAGAGTCAGCCTCTCTGCTCTACTTCAGAAGGAAATAGTTATAAAAAGCCTATTGTGATAAATAAGTTCAAGGAGAACTCGGGACCAGAAACGACTTATGTACAGAAAAGGGCAACCTCAATAAACTCAAATCTAAAATAATTTTTATTAACAGATATAGTAAATTTAATGTTATATTTTATACATATAAAATGTTTAAATGGTTCTTAAAATTATAAGGGAGATAATGCACTTTCAGTACAAAAATTTTATAATTACTGTACTTAACATTCTGTCTGGGGACTGGGAAGTGTATTTTTACATTGTTTATAGCCAATCATTTTTGTATAGTCGATTTAAATCCTGTGGGCCTTTTGTATCTCTCTTAACATCAAATTTTATAATCATCTTTATAAATAAATCCACTTAATGCAGTGTTCGTGTGTTTGTAGTTGTGTGTTCCGGAAGCCTGGTGCAGGGCCGAGCGCTCCCTCCGTAGTTGCGAGCTGGCTCTGTGGGCTTGTCGAGCGCCTTAGTGGGATGCTGGCTGTGGGCCTCCCTTGCAGCTGGGGCAGGCTAGCAAAGAAAGAACTCGTTCCCTGTCCGCCCACCGACCCTCTAGCTGGAAAGTTAGAATACACGTTTGAGCAGGGCTTGTTGGGAAGCCGCGCGGGGAGAGCTACAGCACTTCCAGAGAAGCACGTTCGGCCCCGGTCACGTTGCTCCGTTGGTCTGACAGTGCTAAAAATAAAAGGAGCACATTGTGTTTCGGACGCCCCACTGGCGGGGAAAGTGGGAAGCGGGACTAGAGTGGTTCTGGTAAAGCCGCAGCTATTTGTGTAGTTGGCAAAATCCCCGCCTCCGGTCGGTCTGCAAGAATAACGAGGTCTGTATGGCCATCAGGAACTCTCTGGAATTCGTACATTCTTAGGAGTTTTGTGTTTTGTTTTGATAAAGAGCATTGTGTCGGCTTGCAGGGAGCAGAAAGCCCAATGACACAGACCTCTGGGTGGGGCAGCTTCCCAGCTGGTGAATTCAGTGGCTCGGCTGGCGGTGTCCGGTGTCCCTGCTTTGCTGCGCGCCCCTTGCCTGCTGGGAGCCCTGTCCTCGGAGCCGACCCTCTGTGGGTGTCGCGCGGCGGTGGCCGGGTCTGCTTGCACAGCATTGTCCTCTACAGCGAAGGAGTGAATTGATTGCTATTCTCCGTCCCTCGGAAGGTGTTCCTCTTCTGCTGCTGTCTCAATAAAAGATACCGAATGCCCGTTTCTGTAGCACTTACTGACATACAGAGTGGAATTACTGTAATTGGCTTAAAGGAATCAAAATTTCCACACTTGAGATTGTGAATGGGTCTTTGACACTCTGTATCATAAGAAATTCGTGTCAGAAAAAGTGGAAAATACGGTCTTTTCTCCCAACGTTTTTGCCTTTGGCTACTTTCATTTTTACCATTTGAAACATTTCGTGCACCACAAGTAGAGGGGAGCACCTGTTGTAGGCACTACCCAACCTCAGTAGATCTTAACATTTTGCCATGGTTTTTTTTTTTTTTTTTTAACTTTTTGACAGGCAGAGTTAGAGAGAGAGAGGCAGAAAGGTCTTCCTTTGCCGTTGGTTCACCTCCAATGGCCACCGCTACCAGCGCTGCGCTGATCCGATGGCAGGAGCCAGGTGCTTCTCCTGGTCTCCCATGGGGTGCAGGGCTCAAGCACCTGGGCCATCCTCCACTGCACTCCCGGGCCACAGCAGAGAGCTGGCCTGGAAGAGGGGCAACCGGGACAGAATCCAGTGCCCCGACCGGGACTAGAACCCGGTGTGCTGGCGCCGCAAGGCGGAGGATTAGCCTAGTTAGCCGCGGCGCCGGCCGCCATGTTTGTTTTAAGGTCCCTTGTCTAAAAAGAAAGTCATAGTCTTAAAGTATCACCAGCTCTAATCCTGTTCGCGTCCTCCAAAGGTGAACACTGTGGAACCGAGTGGGCGTCCTTCTGTCTGTGTTCTCCACTCCACACTTGCAGACGGATCTATAGACGGCGTCTAGCATGGTGCTTGTGAGATCTCTATCTTTCATAGTTTACCTACCTTGAAATTATCTGATACCTGTAAGTGCAGTTCATTCCTTTTAAATGCTATTTTGTATTCTATTATATAATGTGTCACAGTTTACTTACCCTTCTCCTATAGGTAGAAAAATGTAACGTATTTTCAGTTTTTGAGCATTTCAGTGTTACAGTGGGCAAACGTTCAGACAGGTCTTGTGCATACATGTGGTTGTGTCGGGTAAGCATTGAAGTACAGTTGGTGGGTCGGTGTCCATGGGCCTCTGAAGCGGGAGGCCCAGGCTGCCTGCCCACCAGCTGCTTCCCCTCTCCTGTCCTGCACCTGTTACTGCTTCAGGTTAGCATTGCTGCTTGTCGGCAGCCAGGTGATCTTTCATTTTACACTCCCCATGTGACCGGTGAGCACGGTTACCTTCTCAGTGGGTCGTAGACTTCTTGAGTTTTCCTGTTTCTCTGAATTTGTTCATAACCTTTGCCTTTTCCTCATGTTGAGTTTTTCTTCACATGAGAGTTCTTGGCACATTGTGAATGTTACCCTTTGTTAGAAATATTCCTAGGAGGCATCGCCTGCATTCTGTAATTTAGCCCTGGACTTTGTTTCTGTGGTTCCCCAAGGTCAGAAGTCTGTACTTTCTAAAGTGTTTAGGGATTTGCATCTTCTCTCTACCTTGATTTTGTGTATGGTCTGTTTCACGCCATCTTCTTTGTTGTTTTCCAGGTGTGTGTGTATGTGCCTATGTCTGTTGCTGGCTTCCTTGGCCTATTTTTCTATACCTATACTAATACCACAGATGTGGTAGAATCTTAATATTTGACAGGGAGGTTCAGAATCATTCTGTTCTGTACTGGTTTTTCCCTTAAGATTTGTTTATTTAAAGGCAGAGTTACACACACACACACAGAGAGAGAGAGAGAGAGAGAAATCTTCCATCTGCTGGCTCGCGCTCTACATGGCCACAATGACTGGGGCTGGGCCAGGCAGAAGGCAGGAGCCAGGAGCTTCCTCCAGATAGCCCACATGCTTGGGCCTTCTGCTGCGTTCCCAGGTGTATCAGCAGGGAGCTGGATAGGAAATGGAGCAGCTGGCCTCTAACCAGTGCCTATATGGGATGCCAGTGCTGCAGGTGGTGGCTTAACCCACTGCGCCACAATGCCAGCCCCTGTTCTGTAGTCTGGTGGTTTTCTTCATAAAGCTCTTTTCTCAGATTTATCCTACACACCTTATTTTTATAGGTGCCCAGAATGGGATCCTCTTATATAAAATTGCATATTCTGACTAGCATATTAGAATAGGAAAGTGTTTGATTTTTTAAAGTTTGTTCATTTTTTTGAAAGGCAGACTGGTTCACTCAAGTACCAGCAACAGTCAGGGCTGGGACCGTTCAGGCCGGCACCCTAATACAGGATGTGGGTGTCACAACACCCGCCCAAGCAGTTGGTTTTTTTTATACCCACCCGAGCAGTTGATTTTATTTTTTTTAAGATTTACTTATTTATCTGAAAGGCAGAGTTACAGAAAAAGGAGAGACAGAGGGAGAGGTCTTCCATCTGCTGATTCATTCCCTAATCGGCTGCAATACCTAGGGCTGAGCCAGGTCAAAGCCAGGAGCCGGAAGCTTCGTCCTGGTCTCCCACATGGATGCAGAGGCCCCCGTACTTTTTAATTAATTAATTTATATTTTAAAGAGCCGGCGCCGTGGCTCAATAGGCTAATCCTCCGCCTAGTGGCGCCGGCACACCGGGTTCTAGTCCCGGTCGGGGCGCCGGATTCTGTCCCGGTTGCCCCTCTTCCAGGCCAGCTCTCTGCTGTGGCCAGGGAGTGCAGTGGAGGATGGCCCAGGTGCTTGGGCCCTGCACCCCATGGGAGACCAGGAAAAGCACCTGGCTCCTGGCTCCTGCCATCGGATCAGCGCGGTGCGCCGGCTGCAGCGGCGGCCATTGGAGGGTGATCCAACGGCAAAGGAAGACCTTTCTCTCTGTGTCTCTCTCTCTCACTGTCCACTCTGCCTGTCAAAAAAAAAATAAATAAAAAAAATTTATATTTTAAGGAATATAAATTTCGTAAGTACAACTTTAGGAATATAGTCATTCTTTCCACCATACCTACCCTCCCACCCCACTCCCACTCCCCTTCCTAGTCCCATTCTCCATTAAGATCCATTTTCAATGAACTTTATACACAGAAGACCAACTCTGTACTAAATAAAGATTTCAACAATTTGCACACACACAAAAAAACTTTGAGAACAGGTTTTACTGCTAACTCTCATAATACAATTCATTAAGGACAGGGGTGCTGCATGGGAAGTTAGTGTACAGTGACTGCTGTTGTTAATTGATGAATTAACACTGTTATGTATGATGTCAGTGACCACCTGAGGCTCTTGACATGAGCTGCCTAGACTATGGAAGCCTTTTGAATCTGCAATCTCCATCAGTATTTAGACAAGGCCATGAGCAGAGTGCAAGTTTTCTCATCTCTGTAGTACCTCCTTTGATGACCACTTCTTTCCACTGGGGTCTCACATGTAGAACATTTTTTGCCATAGTGTCTTGGCTTTCCATGCCTGAGATGCTCTCACTGGCATTTCAGCCAGACCAGGAACCCTTAAGGGCTGATTCTGAGGTCAGAGTGTTACTTAAAGTGATTGTCATTCAATGAGTCTGCTGTATGAACTGTTCCCATGTTAGAACATTATCTTCTTTTTAATTCTGTCTATTATTATTACCATAAACTTGATCCTATTTATATGATCACTTAATCCTATCTATATTTCACTTTAACACTTAATTTGATCACTTTAACACTTAAATTGGCAATTTAAACACAGCTTAATGGGATTTGGGGTCCCATGATGAGTTTTTAAACTGTACCCTTAGAAATAAGTCTGTAGGAATGTATGCAGAACTATACAGCTTTACCGTTACAAACTTCCTCCTCCGTCTCTTATTCCCACTCTTATTTTTTTACTGAGATCCACTCTCAGTTGACTTTATAATTGACTTTATACACATATGATTAACTCTATGTTAAGTAAAGAGTTCAACAAATAGTATGAAGGAAAAAAAATGAAAAAACAAAAAAACAAAACTTCCTCACAGTCAAGACAAGGGCAGCTCAAGTCATCCCTTCTTGAAGTGTCAATTTCACTTCTACAGATTTTGTTTTCGGTGCTTTCTTAGTTCTCACAGATCAGGGAGAACATATGGTATTTGTCCCTTTGGGATGGCTTATTTCACTAAGTATGATGTTTTACAGATTCATCCATTTTGTTGCAAATGACCAGATTTCATTTTTTATACTGCTGTGTAGTACTCCATAGTGTACATATCCCATGATTTCTTTATCCAGTCTTCAGTTGGCAGGCATTTAGATTG